CGTACAACACCGTAATTCACACAACCACTTGATAAACTACAGAAACTCAAGACTTATCGCCACAGAAGACAACACCCAATACCGAAGAATCCTGGAATCATCACTTATTTCTATATCCGACAACTTCAACCAGAATAGTGGCTTCTATAACATAGCTGAACCACTTGCCAAGAAACTTCTTCATCGCTATCCCACATAAGAACACTGTAGAAGGTCTGCTCACAAACTTGTCCAGTCTCCTTTCCAAGCTACCCAAGTTTTTAGACTCTACAACCCAACTCGGTACATCATCAGATGCAGCATTCTTCACCTGACCTCGGCCGGACTATAAATACTCGCGTTCCTTCCACCCCAGGTAGTTCTGTTTGTGACTTGAAAAAGCCCACTGTGTGGGCGAAACGTAGTCAATAAAGGATCACATTATACTGCATTTGTGTTTATATTGCCATTGTGTCGGTATTTTATACCATTTATTTCCACTCCTACCGGCTTAAGCCAATGCACCCAACCTAGTCAGGTCAGGTCACATTGACTTAAGGGAGGAACACGGCAACCTACCTGTTAGCACAAGCTATCAGGTCTAACTCACACCCACCCACATCTACTCATGTATTTATCCAACCTATTTTTAAAGCTACACAACGTTCTGGCCTCTATAACGGTACTTGGGAGTTTGTTCCACTCATCCACAACTCTATTACCAAACCAGTACTTTCCTATATCCATCCTGAATCTGAATTTTTCCAACTTAAAACCATTGCTGCGAGTCCTGTCTAGGCTAGATATTTTCAGCACACTATTTACATCCCCTTTATTTATTCCTGTCTTCCATTTATACACCTCAATCATATCCCCCCTAATTCTACGTCTTTCTAGAGAGTGCAGTTTCAGGGCCCTTAGTCTATCCTCATAGGGGAGGTTTCTGATACATGGGATCATCTTTGTCATCCTCCTTTGTACATTTTCCAGAGAATTTATATCCATTCTGTAATACGGTGACCAAAACTGTTAGCTGTGATACTGAAGATCAAGCCAAGAACCGGATCACACACATATATACTGCAGTATTTGTGCAGGAAACCTTCGCCAGTTGTTGATTTAGAAAAGGAAATCTATGTCTTTTGCAGTGCCAGTGGTGTGGAGGAAGCCAACTGTTTCTTCTGCATATTATCTCTAGTCAAGAAACGTATTTGCGAGAGAAAAAAAGTATTGTACAATATGCTAATATACCCTGTACTATGTACTCGGTACCTCACGGAGAAGGATTACCCATTCCTGAACCCCACCAAACTCTTTCTCCTTTGAATCAGAGGACGGAAAGGATGACGGAACCTGCTGCTAAACTTGTGAGTCTTCAGCTTTATAAAACCCTGAATATGTTCATAACTTTACATCTAAACTGCACATAACTCAGAATGAATTACGTGAGTTAGACCTGCCAAAAAAGTAAGGACGGACTACTGGGCTCCAGATTGCAGCAGTGGAATGTCCTCGCCGAAAATATCTCTAAAGATTCATTTCCTCTATACGCTAGCTTTTACTTTCCATCCAGCTGCGGAGCAGTCAGCGATGAACTTAGTAAATATTTCAGCAGTCATGGAGGAGCGCTACCTAGGGAAAATGGAGACCATCATTGTTAGTGCAGTAGATTGGTGCTGGACAGTAACAGATACTTCAGAAGAGGAATACAAGAAACGAGCAAAGAAGCGTTGGGTTGAATCATTGTAAGTGGATTCATTATACAGAAATGTTACTAATGTATTGTATACATATACAAAACGTGTAAATAGATTTCCTTGGAAACTTTAGCTAAATCAATGGTTGTTATCGTCATATTAGTTTTCAGCACTACAAAAACATTAAAGTGAAATAACTTTTTTCTCCGAGGCACAAAGCTGTTGTAAATTTTTAGACGTTTCCTTTGAGGGGGCGCCTTGACGCCAGTGAAAGGCTTTAGATCCGAGAAACTAGAGCTATCCTTAAGTCGAGTCCAAATGGTCCCCGTTCTTTTCTATTAAATAGGCCTAAGTGATGGAAATACTTCTTCCTTTAGTTGAAATTCGCTGCTTGTAGAAGGAAAATTAGTTCACTGGGCAGCCGTTCTAGCGATCCTTCGAGAACAGTGTTGTGGTGGTTGTGTAACTCCACTAGAAGGAAATAGAATTATGTTAGGGTGTGTTATGGAGGTTCTTTCATGTCAGTGAGGGACACTTGATCACTGGAATTGGACCTCCTTACCGGTTAGCGCCCTTCCCCTCTCTCCCACATGAATGATAATATTTAGGGCGAGTCGTTTCGCTGACTGTGATAATTATTGGTGTTTTGGACACCCAGCACAATATTGTAGATCACATGATTGGTATCCTGTCTGTGCAGACACTGATCACAATGACACATTTTGTCAGTAAAATCCTTGCCTTAATTATAATGATCATCTTTCTTAGTCTCGTCGATGCCTCATAAAATTCAATATACAGGTGAACTTATAACACAGATACATCTTTGTAGAGCCTTTATAATGTACTTGCCTCAGACTTCCACGTCTTCACTCGGTCATCAGCCCATGATACTGCCTCGTTGAAGTAAAGAATTTTCCATCACCTCAGTGCTACGCTTCAGACCAGGCGTCCCTTCTTCATATCTTACATTTTTTTTAATATACTCAAAATTTGGTCCCTTCACCATCAGTAATAATCGTGAAAATGCATGGAGCCCCGACTCTTCCCTTAATTTTCCAAACGTGATAATGAGTCTAATGAGTCAGCGTGACTTTGGTATATGCATTTCAGTTATGACCACCTCTTGGACAGTTGTCGTTTCAGGCCCCTAAAATGCATTACAAGCAATCCAGAACTTAACTCTCAATTTCCCAACGTTCTACACATTTAACGATAGTTGTATTGCACCTCAGGCAGATAGTTTTTTTTGCTGGATCCTTTGAACATTCTGAAGCTGTGGGCAATGAACTCTCAAACCTAGTTGCTCGGTCCACAGTTCAAGAACTGCCAGTCGCCTGGAGAAAGTTCCGATTATCATATTTTTTATCCAGTACTGTCTTAGTGCCTAAAAAACTGCTGGTAAAGAAGTTGAGCTGAGTCAGTATACATGGAGGGTGTTCCTGGGGTCAACGCCCCCGCGGCCCGGTCCAGACCAGGTCTCGCCTGGTCTCCCATACCAAAATCACTCATAAAGTTCGATATGTTCTTTGCCATCTTCCCACCCTCTTTGAGAGAAGCATACGAGTACTGAAATCAACAGCCAGGTAACTTCCCTTCATCGCTATCAAGCATGGGAAGTTGTAGTCTCGCGAATACGCATTGGATGGTAGTGGTGGTTGTCGTGGCGGCGGCGGCAGCTGCTGCCAATATCAGTAGGGACTGTCATCATCAGCAGGGAGTGTGTCACCATCAGCAGGAACTGTGTTAACATCAGCAGGGACTGTGTCAACATCAGTAGGGAGTGTCAACATCAGTAGGGAGTGTCAACATCAGCATGGACTGTGTCAGCATCAGCAGGGACTGTGTCAACATCAGTAGGGCCTGTGTTAATATCAGTGGGGACGGTGTCAGCATCAGCAGGGACTGTGTCAACATCAGTTGGGACTGTTAATATCAGTAGGAACTGTGTCAATATCAGCAGGTAGTGTCAACATCAGCAGGGATTGTCAGCATCAGTAGGAACTGTGTCAGCATCAGCAGGGACTGTGTGAACATCAGTAAGGACTGTGTCAACATCAGTAGGAACTATCAACATCAGAATAAAAGTGTTTTAAGCAGGCTTGGAGCAATTGTAATCAAAGTTGAATGTAATTAATTTTTTAAGTAAGTGTGATTGTAATTGACTCTTTAGATTTAAAAATAATTCTAATTGTAATTGGCTTAAATTACATCATAAAACTGTGATGGGCTAATGACATACTGTAATGTGACTCGTTGTTTGGATCAGGTCTTGAAAAAGTATATACAAGAGGATTGTGCTTCATGCGACGTAGATCCCCTGGTTTATTATAGGGACTCTCCTCCAAAGATGCTCCCTCTGGAGAAACGAGCAAGAGAAATGATGGGTTGCTCAGCTACTGCAACACCTCCAAAGTGTTTAGCATAGCAGAAAATTTTCTACTCCCTGTAGAGCGCAGCTAGTGCCTACTACCTTCCGCGAACTTCTGATTAAGTACAACCCAGAAATTTGTGAAGATTTTCCATGACTGAACCTTAATGAACTGTAATATTTAACAATGATTTTAACATTAGTAAATGTTGAAGTAATTAAAATAATTTAATGCAAAATATCAAGTAATTGTAATTTGTTATTTTTCTGATCAATATTAAATGTAACTGAACATCTGGAAGAGTAATTAAAATTAAAATTGTAACTGACACCGAATCATGCAATTACTCCAAGCTTGGTTTTAAATAGTTTTAAAAGAAGTGAGTGATAGTGAAGACGACTACAAGCTGAGACTTACATTTGGCCCTGGCCCAAGCTTAACGTGCAGCTAATACACTGATGACAAGCCTAACTATGCAAGACAAATATGCCACATTATCCCCCATTCTCTGAGGCCAGATCTGATGTCTTGTGCGCCCAATGTTGGGACCACCAACTATATTTCTTCCTCCATATTACCAGAATGTGAACTGGAACACTTTTTGTGGGCGTCCCTTAATGGAGCAGTTATTGCCTTGACGCTCACCAAACACCAAGTGTATTGTCCGTCCTACAATGATTTAAATCTGTTATATCCGTATAGGTATCCTCGGTAGGAATACGTATGGTGTTGGCACTTTAATCCCAATTCTCGAGCCACCCCCCCCCCTTTGAACACACTAACTTGAGTGAAGAGTACTATTTTCATCATTGAAGGCTTAGAAGAAATTGTTGAAAATACAAAATAAAGACAAACACGTGAAGAGTATTATAGTTACACTGATGGTTTAGAATTGCGCTGAAGAACCCCTGTGTGAACATGCTACCAATACTGAAGGTTTAAAATAACTTACTGAGCAGTTTGAGAGGACACACTGGGCAGCACTGTCCGGCCACTTTGACGGGCATGGCACAGTGCAGCTTGTCCCTGCTCTGGCACTTGAGGCGTGAGCAGTCAATCCTGCCGTTGTAACACCGGCACAGCACGCAGTCCATCTCGCCGAAGGGGCCGATGACCGGGTGCCAGACAGAACCGTTGACGAAGTAACGACCACCGATCTTACAGTCGAGGTTGGCGCTGCCTTTCGGCGGCGAGGGGTCAGAGAACGATACCATCGTTTCCCAGTCCAGTTCAAGGGAGGTGTCTGTAGGGTGAGAGCAGGCAGGGGGAGTTAGGGGGTGTGAAACAGTTGAGTTGGGAGGGTAGGGAGGTAGTGTTAGGGGATGTGAGAGAGTAGACCCAGGGAGGGAGGAGTTTTAGGGAGCATGAAAGAGTGAGGAGGACAGGCGAAAGTTCGGGGTGTAAGAATGAGTGGGGAGGATAGGGATTGTGAAAGAGTGAGTTGGGAGGGTAGGGAGGGAGGGAGAGTTTGGGGTGTACGAGAATGAGAGCTGAGGTTACGGTGTGTGAGGGAGTGAGAGGGGAGGATGTGGATTGAAAGGTAAGAACACGAGTTAGTGAGGGGGAGGGGGAGAGGATGGGGAGGTACAGTAAAGAGGAGAGATTGACGTATAAAGAAAAAGGAGGCTATTTTTTTTTTCAAAGCCTTAAGGGTTTTGTCATAATGATCTGCTAGCTGTGATGGGGAAGATCTTCCAGTAGTAAAAGATAGGCATGAGCTTCCTGTTTTAAGGGGAAAATATAGTATTGATGATCTAAAGCCTTCCTGACCTGGGTTGTGTAGCTAACTCTTTTCCACAAAATCAGATAGCTGGCTTGTGAACATCCTTTCAAAGAATTTTATGGTGTATGATGTTATTGCTTTTGGTTTGTAAATTTTTGCCATGGCAGTGCTTGCTCCCTTAAGGTCTCTGGGATTTCATCTGATTCTAAGAACACTGAGTGCTCATGCTAATTCATTTTGTATTTCTTTATAAATACGACACTCTAGGAGTCAGCCTTAATACAAGTAATCCTTGAGCCATTTGGTCATTACCATCTACGGGGAGAATGTTCATAAAAATTTTTTTTGTCAAATACACATCCCTAGAGTTGAAAAATTCATAACATTGCAACAGTGGTAGCTTGTGGTGAGAGACTGACTATTTGCAACCCTACCTAAATTATTCGTTTTCTGAACTAAACTTTCTAGTAATATAACCAACAACTTATGTCAGTTTATTGTTTATGTTCATTTTTCATTGTAAATTGTAAAACATAGTCTGGTGCTGTTGAGAAATTTTTGTTTTGAAACTTTCCTTAATACACTGTGCGTTATAAGAACATAACGATGGAACACTGCAGAAGGCCTACTGGCCCATGCGAGGCAGGTCCAAGTCTCCTACCGGCTTAAGCCAATGCACCCAACCTAGTCAGGTCAGGTCACATTGACTTAAGGGAGGAACACGGCAACCGACCTGGTAGCACAAGCTATCAGGTCTAACTCACACCCACCCACATCTACTCATGTATTTATCCAACCTATTTTTAAAGTTACACAACTTACTTTTACTACATAGTTTGTGTAAAAGTAAAATGTGATTTTATTGTTGACAGTAAAATTTGTGAACGAGCATAATTTTTTTTAGCATGTTTAAATGTAAGAAAATGTAAGAAATTAAATATGGATTAAGACAAATCTAATTATGTATTGTGTAAGTAGTACGTATATTAAAACTAATGTAACAGAAAAATGTTACCTCCATCTAAAATGTTTACTCCGTCTAAAATGTTTACTCCGTCTAAAATGTTACCTCCGTCTAAAATGTTTACTCCGTCTAAAATGTTACCTCCGTCTAAAATGTTTACTCCGTCTAAAATGTTACCTCCGTCTAAAATGTTTACTCCGTCTAAAATGTTACCTCCGTCTAAAATGTTTACTCCGTCTAAAATGTTACCTCCGTCTAAAATGTTTACTCCGTCTAAAATGTTACCTCCGTCTAAAATGTTTACTCCGTCTAAAATGTTACCTCCGTCTAAAATGTTTACTCCGTCTAAAATGTTACCTCCGTCTAAAATGTTTACTCCGTCTAAAATGTTACCTCTGTCTAAAATGTTTACTCCGTCTAAAATGTTACCTCCGTCTAAAATGTTTTACTCCGTCTAAAATGTTACCTCCGTCTAAAATGTTTACTCCGTCTAAAATGTTACCTCCGTCTAAAATGTTTACTCCGTCTAAAATGTTACCTCCGTCTAAAATGTTTACTCCGTCTAAAATGTTACCTCTGTCTAAAATGTTTACTCCGTCTAAAATGTTACCTCCGTCTAAAATGTTTACTCCGTCTAAAATGTTACCTCCGTCTAAAATGTTTACTCCGTCTAAAATGTTACCTCTCTAAAATGTTTACTCCGTCTAAAATGTTACCTCCGTCTAAAATGTTTACTCCGTCTAAAATGTTACCTCCGTCTAAAATGTTTACTCCGTCTAAAATGTTACCTCCGTCTAAAATGTTTACTCCGTCTAAAATGTTTACTCCGTCTAAAATGCTACCTCCGTCTAAAATGTTACCTCCGTCTAAAATGCTACCTCCATCTAAAATGCTACCTCCATCTAAAATGCTACCTCCATCTAAAGTGCTACCTCCATCTAAAATGCTACCTCCATCTAAAATGCTACCTCCATCTAAAGTGCTACCTCCATCTAAAGTGCTACCTCCATCTAAAATGTTACCTCCATTTAAAATGCTACCTCCATCTAAAATGTTACCTCCATCTAAAATGTTACCTCCATCTAAAATGTTACCTCCACCTAAAATGTTACCTCCATATAAAATGTTACCTCCACCTAAAATGTTACCTCCATCTAAAATGTTACCTCCATCTAAAATGTTACCTCCATCTAAAATGTTACCTCACCTAAAATGTTACCTCCATATAAAATGTTACCTCCATCTAAAATGTTACCTCCATCTAAAATGTTACCTCCATCTAAAATGTTACCTCCATCTAAAATGTTACCTCCATCTAAAATGTTACCTCCATCTAAAATGTTACCTCCATATAAAATGTTACCTCCACCTAAAATGTTACCTCCATATAAAATGTTACCTCCACCTAAAATGTTACCTCCACCTAAAATGTTACCTCCATCTAAAATGTTACCTCCATATAAAATGTTACCTCCATATAAAATGTTACCTCCATATAAAATGTTACCTCCATATAAAATGTTACCTCCATATAAAATGTTACCTCCATATAAAATCGACAAAATACAAAATTCAGTATAAAAATAAATTTGCATTTTATTTTCTGAATATGTTACAGAAGTCATTCTGTGTATAAAATGTATGATGTGTTATTATGTTGGTTGCCATGGTGTGTTATTATGTTGGTTGCCATGATGTGTTATTATGTTGGTTGCCATGGTTAACACTGTCATCGCTGTCTGAGCTCCGTGATGGTTTTCAGTCTGAGAGTTTACACATATCAGTGCTTGTCAACCCATGTAACATATAAACACTTAGGTGGCATAAACCTCAAACAGTTGCATGTGAACAGGTCCAGCATAACTTCTGGTGTTGGATGACCATTCATCATTTTGTAGTTTACAATTTCTAAAATGACTTTGTGTACGTGGATCCTGTATTTTTGAAGGTATCTTCTACAAATTATTGCTTGGTAGTTTGCACGGTTAATATGTTTATCTAGATAGATCTTGCATTCAGGTAGCTCTATCACCCCCCCCCTCCCATTCCCTATTTTTTGGCATAGGGAAGGTGGTATCTGAGACTGACACTTTTGGGGGCATAAAGAAGCTTATCCAAACACTTTGACAAGAGATCCCATTGACAAGAGTTCCCATTCTTACCCTGACTTCGGAAACGTGACCTACACTTTTCTGTTATTGAGATTTTAATGCCAAGTGCTTTGCCTTTACCTGCCAAAGCACTGACGCAGTCGTATCTTGTCTCGGCGAAAGTCAGCTACTCTGGTGCTAGCTTGAGCTATAACTGAATATTAGAGGAAGTTCTGTCCGGTCATAAAATGCCACACTGACGATTACAACATCAGTGTATTGTAAGAATATCACAACTGCTTCAGAACCATTTCCTTCAACGGGGTGTACCTATAGCAGCAAGCAGCGTTCTCTCCTTTGCTTGCATTGGAAGGAACAATACACACAATACCGTGGCTAGAAGGAACAACACACACACGCAGTACCGTGGCTAGAAGGAACAACACACACACCCACACAATACCGTGACTAGAAGGAACAACACACACACAATACCGTGGCTAGAAGGAACAACACACACAAAATACCGTGGCTAGAAGGAACAACACACACACACACAATACCGTGGCTAGAAGGAACAACACACACACACACACACACACACACACACACACACACACACACACACACACACACAATATCGTGGCTAGAAGGAACAACACACACACACACACACAATACCGTGGCTAGAAGGAACAACACACACACATACACACAGACAATACCGTGGCTAGAAGGAACAACACACACACAATACCGTGTCTAGAAGGAACAACACACAAAATACCGTGGCTAGAAGGAACAACACACAAAATACCGTGGCTAGAAGGAACAACACACACACACACAATACCGTGGCTAGAAGGAACAACACACACACACACACACACACACACACACACACACACACACACACACACGGATCCAGTAGCGATCAGTGAAGAGGCGGGGCCAGGAGCTGAGTCTCGACCCCTGCAACCACAATTAGGTGAGTATACACACACACACACACACAATACCGTGGCTAGAAGGAACAACACACACACACACCACACACACACACACACAATACCGTGGCTAGAAGGAACAACACACACACACACACACACACACAATACCGTGGCTAGAAGGAACAACACACACACACACACAATACCGTGGCTAGAAGGAACAACACACACACACACAGTAGAGACAGGAAGGACTCTGGGGGGACAGACCAGACGGGGACACCAGCAAGGAATACACCAACAAGTGTTGGACGACATACATACAGATGAGGAGGAGGTGAAGAAACTGCTAAGGGACATCGATACCTCAAAGGCAATGGGACCAGACAACATCTCCCCGTGGGTCCTTAGAGAGGGAGCAGATATGTTGTGCGTGCCACTTACCACAATCTTCAACACATCCCTGGAAACTGGGCAACTACCTGAGGTATGGAAGACGGCAAATGTA